AGAGTCTGAACACGGACTGATCGCTGCCCTAGACACCAAACAGGGCCGGCATGAAACTCCCCATGCTTACTACCACATACTTCAACGAGCTGACTTTGGAGCTCGCAATTACCCTGGGATGGAGGAGGACACCAGCTTCAAGTGCCTTTTCCTCCGAAACCTCCATCCTATTGTAAGTCACCATTTAGGCATTATGACCTGCCGCACAATGCCTAATCAACAGCTGCGTAACCTGACACAGAAGGCCTTTAACAAGCACCATCCTCATCCTGCGAACACCACGGTATGTCCAACAGCAGTCCACTACAACACCTTCACACAGGTGCCAAACGGATGCTGCACACGGACAGCTGGACACACCTACTTCTGAGTTACAGGAGCTGCTGACACTAGCAAAAGAGCTCCTTGAACAAAACTCAACTGAGGAGTACTGGGAAGGACAAACTTCTGACTCCTTGCCTGACGCAACACAGCATCAGACCCCTCCAAGGGAGGAGCATCCCTTAAAACCAGTCGACACCCCAGAAGCAGCCAGACAACGTTGGATAGAGCATCTGGCCCACATGCCCAACAGGGAAACCTCTACCAACACAACTCAGCCAGGATCCCGTCGGTGCCGCCACAAGAGCAAAGCGACACCACAAACAACAGACTTCAGGTGACGTTCGAGCAGAACAGAGAGCTAACAATCACCTGCTGCCCTCCTGCCACCATCACTAGGTCAGTCTGAAACTACGGCCCTGAAAATTAATGCTTGTTTATGTCCACTCGCATTATTGACAAGCTATTCTTTGTTCTTTAATTCTTTGCTTTGACACAATCTGCATTGTATAAAGCGCTATACAAAATAAAGGTGACTTGACTTGACATGAGTAAGTATTGAATTAATTAGAACATATTTAAATTAAATTAAACCTATTGAGACTGGAACCTCAGAAAATAAAACCTTACATCTCAATTTAAGTATATTTATTCCCAAATTCTCTCAACTTACTGTTATACTTTTATACCAAAACAAAAACACTGCAGTACTAACACAAGTAAGCAAACTTTTTTTTTTTTGAATACATTAAAAATATATACAATTTAGTTTTTCTTAACAAGAGTCTCAAATAAATAGAGAAGTCTGTTGGCCCTCTCATCTGCAGCCTTTTGTCTGGCTTCTTCCCTGGCTTCCTCTCTGTCCATTTCCTCCCTGAACATTTCAATGAGGCTCCTCTTCTTACCCCTTCGTCTGCTTGGATCAGGCTCTCGTTCTTCATTGAGGGGCAAGGGAGAGGCATTTGAAGGCCCCGGCTCACCACAGGTGGAAGAGGCCTGGGACATTGAGGCAAGCAGCACTGGAGGAGTAACTGAATGCTTCTGACCCAAAGCCTCATCCATTAGGTTGAACCAGGGCCATGATGCAGCTGTATCCTCTCCCTTGTCCACCCCTGAACCAGTTGGTGGGTTTTTCAGCTCCTACAGAAAAAGTAGGAGTTACTACAGTTACTACAAATCATACAGCAAAAGCTTAAGCATTTAGACTACCGATAATGCAACATTAACATTTAACATATAATAATTCTTAATTAAGAAGAAAAATTATATTCAACAACTTACTTCCACCCGTTCACAGCACTGTTTTTATGGCCAGTGAATGCCTCCTCATTTTCAGCCCGGGCCGTTATGAAAGCGGCTGTATCCTCAGATGACCCTTTTGAAATTATATTTAGCAACTACAACACTAATTTTTCGGTAGAAATGCAATCAAAAGCTGTCAAAATTCAAAAATAAAACTTACATTTGTACAAAAACTGCCCTCCAACCACATTCTCCGACGCCATTTATTTTCTGAGCTCGACTAAAGCAAGCCACTCCCCCTCGGAATAATAAGAAAGAAAGAAAGTGACGTGACATGTGGCCAAGTATGGTGACCCATACTCGGAATTAGTGCTCTGCATTTATCCCATCCAAAGTGCACACACACAGCAGTGAACACACACACACCGTGAACACACACCCGGAGCAGTGTAATTACAGTGTAATACGCACAGGATTGTGGGATATCAAAGGCAGCGAAGGATACATCTATGCTGCCTTCAAAAATCGATCAGATGACGGCATCTCATGAGACAGGAAGTGAAGCTAACTTTGCATTCGGACATGCCTTGATGCCTTCCTACCTTGAAATGCGTCCTCCGAAGGCAGCATTTTTCAGTTTTCGGATGCAGCCATTGTCTGGTCTCGTCAAGGTTTACCCATACCAAGGCCTGTCGCGATAATCAATATATCGTCTTATCGCTCAATATATGTACATGACCTCAATAATTTTTGGTGACGCAATATATCGCCCATTATATTTACTTAAAAGTTAATGTCACAATGTTTTGTACATTCCACTTGCGCCTGTGTCTTTTGCAGCTTCTGGTACATAATGTGGTGTAGTCATGAAGTGCTAGTTCAAACTTAAAAAATGCTTCTACAAAAAAGTTTCATCTGTAGATATGGTATTGTTTAGGGATCTGTGCCTTTGTGCATACGGACATCTGACTGCTAAGTAGGGATTGTGTTTTTTAGCAATAGTGTGCAGTGCACCCTTAATTTACAGAGAAAAGAAGGTCAGGGAAAAATCTGTAGATGGAAAAATCTCCATACAAGTTTTTTTGCATTTTTCTTTTTTTCTACTTGTTACTTTACTTTTTTTGTTAGAAAATGTTTATTTAATATTTATTCAGGTTTTTTAAGGTATCTAATATTTTGATACTTAATTTCCATGATCTAAATATTCTTACAAATGAAAATTTTGTTTTTATTTGAAATGGTGAGGCCTTCTTGCAGTATTATGCTGTTACATTATGATTATATATTCAGTGGCATAAAATGGTCTTTAAAATGACAATAATATCGCTTATCGCAATTATTTCTGGGGCAATATATCGCACAACAAAAAGTTGTTATCGTGACAGGCCTACCCATACCTGATTCCTTCCTACTCACCTGCATTCTCACATCCTGACATCTCGTCTTCAGCCTGCCAACCTGCAAAGAGGAAAAGAAACGTTGTTACTCCTTACCTGACTCACCTACCTGGACTCTCACCTGTTACCCGCCTGTCTTCACCGTCTGCATCATCCGTCAGACCTATAAAGAGATACATGGATAGGTTATCAACCTGAGCTAAGTCCAGTCATTCTCAAAGACTCTTGAGTTACTCACCCGTTTGCTCTGCATCTCTCCACTCCGCACCAAGCTGTAAATACATGTCTGTCTCCCCTAGGTCTCCTTCTGTAGTGTGACATGAGGATGCTGTCAAAAATAATGTCATAAATAGATTTTCTTTATCAATTAACTTCTATTAACTAAATTAAATCAACTTTTAGTGTGACCATCCTTTGCGTTTAAAGCAACTTTTGCCGTGCACCCTAGGTGCACTTTGCAGGAAAGTCTCTTAAAGCACTGGCTGTTGTCAGACTCCTTGTTCAAACAAATATCTCACTGGATTATAACAATTAATGGCAAAATGAATGTTTGGAAATGTAAACTGAAATTTCCTACTGACAAACTACAGCAAAACGTAAAAGTAACTGACTTAAAACCATTTTTAGGTGAACATACTAGTATTCTAATAACTTTGGCCACTACTATATATATATATATATATATACAGTAGTGGCCAAAGTCTTAGAGACCCCTTTTAGCCTTTTGACATTTGCATATAAATTACAGACATGGCCCACATTCTACATTTATATGGGTGCTAAATTGCCAATGGTTCCCACCACTATCAAGGAGATGCTAAACAGTTTCACCACTCTTGTCTCCCCATCGAACTTCAAACACATTCCAAAGAGA